GTTGCTAGTTGTGTGCACGGACTGTCCAATAATGTTGTCAGACTGTATTATTTTATAATTTATTCCTTTGAACCTGAATATATTCTAAACTTTTATTAGTATTACATTTCCGTGGGGACCACGACTTTCAAATTTCCACACTCTTAGACCCACATTAAAAATTATATATTGTAAGGTTTAAGAAGAAGGACCGAAATTCCTTTAATCTTGTTTGAAATGGCCCTACAGTAATGTCTGCGCAAAGTTCACCACAAGGGAGAGTGCATTCTATTTTCATCTACCTCATTAAGTTTTTCACAGTAATTAATGGCAGGATGTGCTCACAGAGGAGCTGTCCCGTCTGTTAAAGCACATAATACGTCTGCAAGCGGAGGGACTGACTGACTGCTGGTTTCCAGTGGGCCTTTTACTTGACATATTTTACGTTAATATTTGCAAGGAACACTTTTAAGCTTATTTGTGGGAAAACATCCACTATTTGTGCCTGGATGGTGAAGATCAGTTGTGTAGAAGAGGACAGGAAATTTCATCATGCCGCATCAGAGATCAGTTAGGAATGAAACTGTGAGGGTTTGTTTCTTACTAAGAGGGGGAGATCAGAAGAAAAAAAAAATGTTGATTACGGTAGACTTTAGCATGTTGAGTCATATTTTGCCAGAAGCTGTGAGGAGCATTGATGTAGCTGTTATCCTGACTGTGTGACCCAGAAGTTAAATCTGCATGCAGCACTACTAACACCTCGAGAAATTCCGACTACTGATGATTATTACAATTAATCACTAATAGTAAGACCATGTATGATTAATGTATTTTCAGTAAAAGTGTTCCAGTAATGCAAACTTGCAGTTCCAGTAATCATTTTTAATGATTCTATTCTACATGCATATGAACTTTGGGGGTGTCCTTCCAATGACAGGAGAAACAGTATCATTGGTCCTTCCTTTAATCCACTCTTTTATGTTGGGCACGGTTACAGACAGAGCATTGGTTGAACTCCAGTTGGTTTTCTGGTGTAGCTTTCTTATGGTGAGCTGATTTGAGAAATCAGCAAGTAAGTTTTTGCAACCGGGGTTTATGGGTGGATTTTTGTTTGTTTGGTTTTTCCACCAGTCAATTAGATTCTGACAGGATACTGTGAGTGATAGTGGTGTGGTGTAGTATCATCCTTCAGGAGTTTATAAGTCTTGACCTTGGCATGGCTTGTTTCTTGTATCTGTGTTCTTTCAACGCCACAGAGGCTTCTGTCCACATACTTGACGTCCAGGGAGGGCTGCACCTGGGCTTGGTGAAATTCCCCCTGGTTCTCTCACTCTTCTTATTCTTCCCTAACAGAAAAAAAAAGCCATAAAGAAAAACCTTTTTTCAGCAAGTTTCCAATGATACCATTGCAATGCTTCAAGGACATCTACAGTGCTCAAACTATAACTCAATGAAAGGTTTCAAAAGTTTGTACAGCTTATAGAAAAAAGCACAATCTTATGTAAAATACATCTCTCTGACCTTGAGTAATCAGCGAAGCTTTTCTCTCTTTTTTTTTTTTTTTTTTTTTTTTTACATTTATTATATGCGAAACCTAAAAACTTTAATGGAACCGTCACAGTCTCTCTAGGGTAATGATCTATGGACAGAGATAACCAAAGTAGAGAGCTCTTTGAGAATGCACTGCATCAGTCACAGTATGTAAATGATGAACGCAGGCATCTGCTGTGAAGTGAAGCCAATACAGCAGTGCCTTAAGGTGCAACATTACTGATGGCTTCTATGTGTGAGGGCTTTTAGTGCATCTCTCCAATAGACGACCCATTGGAAAAAAAAAAAAATAAACAACTTCTCACGTGACGTGCAAAGACGACAGATGTATTCGAAAAGTCGGCGTGTTTTTTTTTTTTTTTTTTTTTTTTTTTTTTTTTTTTAGTGGGTTTGTTGTATTGACAGGTTGTCCTTAAAGGATAACCTTGTAGTGTTGTTTAATTATCAGTTCCAGAATGGCTTCTGTTGTATAATTACATTCAATTAGAATATGATGTAACAGACACCTGAAAATGAGAAACAATCGGTACATTTATAGAAAACAGGTCTGTCTGCATGCTGTTTGTTACCAATGGCTAAAATGTTTGTCCATATTCAGAAGGCAGCTTCAGATTTCCATGATTACAGAAGGCTTACTGCTTTTTTTTTTTTTTTTTTTGCTTTTAGGCAAAGCAAATGTTAGCCTTACAATTCTGTCTGATATCTGGCAATATATGATATTCCTCTTTGCGTTTTATGTTTGAAGAAGTCTTTAATGAATAATAGAGTTTTTTTTTTTGGTTTTTTTTTTATTCTTCGGTCTCCAGTCATCAAATGAACACGAGAAGCTTATATAAAAATAGGTCGGCAATTAGCTGCACATATCGAGCATCAGTTCTTTCTTAGCTCATAGGTGCAAAGGAAGGAAATACATTTAAGCATTAGTCCAGCATTGGACCTATAAACTATATTGGCATGTTCACAGCTGCAGAAAATTGAGTAAGGTCTGCTGAGGGGGAGCCTGTGCGGGAGCAGACAGGATAGTGATAATAGGCTGTCTGAGTGCTTGGAAGATGCAGAGAGCTGGAGGAATGGAGTTCTAATGGAATATCCAAAGGTGTTCAATGACAGTTAACCTTTCCGACTAATGATTGGGGTCACAGGGAATGTGTATCGCCCCCTCAGATAGCGTTTAGTCAGCAATGGAGATATATATGGGCGATGAATATTGTATGACCTGAAAATACCGGCGGTCCCAGAGCTCTACTGTCGAACCAGTTCTTTTATTCCTGTTCAAGGTCAGTCATGCCGGGCAGTGGGAAACCCCCGGCGCCGTATCCACGGCATTAAACATTAGACCTTCCACTGAGCTCAAAGATCCCTAATCCCGTACAACTGAAGGAGAGTGTAGGAGATTTAGAGATAATACACACGAAACAGCCAATTCCCATCATTATGTGATCCTGTTTTTAATGAGTTTAGCGTGGGTGAGGAGGACATGGCTCTCTTGAAGCCACCCCTGCAGCAGATGTCTGCTCACCTGCCAGTGTTGCTTACACAAGTGTTGCATCTTAATGCCACTTTGTTGCCTGCTCATGAAACTCTGATGCAATCCACTCGAGGGGCATCACAACTGTCCTCCTTTCCCCTTTGCGATTTTCAGCACATCCCTGAGGCATCATTATTTGTTAAATTAGACAATCGGGATTTTTGCATTCATGTATAGTGGATTGCATACCCAATGCCTCATTGAACTGATTTTTTTTTTTTCATTTAACCGACACAAATGACTGTGTAAGTGTGAAGTGGAGGGGAAAAAAAGATATGTTTTATTTTGCAAATGGAAAATCTGAAAAGGGTAGAGTTAATGTATTCCGCCACACTCGGTCAATATTTTGTAGGAACACCTTCTGTTGCGAGATAACAAGTTACAGTACCTTGGACAACAGATCTTTAAATAAGTATTTACTGAATATGCAGTGTTTTAAAGTAGTTTTTTTTTTTTTCTATTGAAAGTACAGTTTCAAGTGTGATTCTTCAAGATTGGCGCACACATTATTGCACCACAACTTCTTCCAGGAAATAAAGATAAATTAAGCAGAGGCAGAGGATCTCTGTGAGTGGCATTAATAATTTGCCTCTAAAAGCTTCATGCCACTTAAGTTATTAACATTTAATTCAGCAGCGTCGCAGTGGATTAACCTATCAGCCAATGTACCGCAGGAGATGTATTTCTAGTGTTCCCGCTGTCTATTGTGCCTCCCATGTCAGTTCACAGAAACACTGACCCGCTGTCGAGATTTGATTTATTTAATACTTATAAAGGCAAATATACAAAAGTAGATTGTGCGTTTTCGTGGTTTTTTTGTTGTTGTTGTTGTCGATTTATGGCCACGTTGACAAATGTTTTCAGCATATTTAGGTTTTTCTGTCTCTAAAATATAATATCTAAACCTTAATCTTTCTTTGTATCGACACATTACCAAAAAAAAAAAAGTAATTTTCAGTGTCTTATTGAGCGACTTCAAAACTTAATTCTTGAGCTTTAATCTGTCAGAACTTCAAACATTTGAAGGGAGCAAATTAACTCAGAAATATGTTAAATATATTTACATTATATTATTCATAAATTTAAAAAAAAAAGTCAGTTTTGAAAAAGCTCAATGCATAGCCCAGCTTTTTAGGTCACTGCATTAGAAACCCTCATCCCCACATTTTAAAACCTTTTTCATTCAGCGCAGCGCAGCTGCGTCCAAAAGATGTAAACCTAAACATTACAAAGGAATCCATAAATCAACCCTTTGCCGAAGTGCTGCCAGGTTCTCTGGGCACAAGTTCTCATCACACATGGACAGAAAGACAGATGAGATCTGTTGTTTGGCTGCGTCTTTTGTTTGCAGTGAATTTTACAGCTTTTTTCTGGGTATCCATATCATGAATTAATTTTGAAAAAGATGTGTCAACCACCCGTTTATAAAAACTTATTTCTCGCTGGGATCAAAACATCCCACTGAAAACTGTTGATATAATAAACATTTTTAATGGAGTTTAAAAAAGATCGGTAAGGTAAAGTTGTGAATGTTGCCCTGTGTCGTGCGCCAGGCGGCGTTTATTAATCCAACATTAAAACTTTCAGAAAAATGAGAGAAATAACGAGCTTTATATGCATAACAGCATCCATCTTGAGACTTTGTTTCTATTTGTTGTGTCTTACTATGGGGTCTTTGCTGGGACACCTCAGTTGACTATATTCATTCTGTAGCAGTGGCATCTACTTGCGGTGTATGTCTACAGAAAGGAGATACTTTACCATAATTTATGTAAACTTTAGAGATTGTCCTCACTAAATGACACTTTGAAGCCTTGTTACTGCCACTATAACTAAACAGACGATTTATATTTGCCGCTGTCGGTTTCCTCATATTGTTCAAGGCTGATGGAAAGGAAGCATTCAGTTTCTTATAAACTGCTCTCCTCCCTTTTGTTTCCAGGGTTTTCCTTCGGGCTATTAGCCAGTACGCAGATGTGTTGAGCAAGAAATTTCTGGATCAAGCCAACTTTGAGCTACAGGTAAGCTTTGCACAGATGTTTATAATCTCTTCCTCAGTTTGTTACTTTGCATCAGCTCCACAAAACTCCAAATAATGCTCCTTTTTTTTTTTTTTGTCATGTCAACTCTGGATGTGACATTTGAAGCATTATGAAAATTGCAGAGAGAGAGCGATAGAGAACATCAATTACATTGTAATGGCCTGCAATTTTTATGTCCATTGCTGAATATTTTACCTGCTTCCCTTTGAATAAAGTAACAGCTTTTTTTTTTTCTTCTTTTTTTTCAATATCTGACACATGAAAGAATGTTGTCAACACCTAAAACCCTCAGAGATTTCAAAGCCTTTATGGACTGATTAATGTAACTTTGTTTTAGTGTGACTCACAGCACTTAAAGCTGTCTTTGTGGTTTAAAGAAAAAGGTTACATCTCAGTTTATCAGGACAGAAACAAGTGTTTTCCTCCAGGGATCCTATCCATTCTAGGAAAAGTGTGGAATTTAAAGTTCTCTCTAGATCTGGGAAACTATGGGGAAAGAAAAAAGGTTTTGGAATTCCAGACTTTATTCCATATCCCATCTCATCTGTCCATCTTATCCATCCATCTGTGCATCATTTTCAGGCTTGATATGATGCACAGAGGACAGTGACACTTATAGTTATGTAATTAATGTTCATTGCTTGCTTCATAATTTGTGACTGAATGATGTTTTTGGTGGCATAAAGCACTTTGAACTGCCTTGTTGGTGAAACGTGTACAAATGAATTTGACTTGACCTTATTCTCACAATGCAATTCTTTATAAGGAACCGTCATTTCAAACATTTTACATTCAAAGAAGAGTCACGCAGGAATGAATAAAGCTGGAGAGTTCCCTGATGGAAAACACCCTGTGGGTGACATTGACCTAAATCAACAACCTCTGCACCCATTGGGACAGCTTCCCAGCAACAAACTGTAACCGTCTCATCTGCAGCTTTTGATTTAATGAAACCATAAAGCTCTCCTGCCCACACTGTCTAGCACTGAATAACATTGTTGTAAAACTGGCTTTGAGCTGTGAGTGAAACGGTCTCTTATTCCCTATCCGCCTCTCTCTCTCTGCCTTTATCTGGGTTAGCTGTGGAACAACTACTTCCACTTGGCCGTGGCCTTCCTCACCCAGGAGTCGCTGCAGCTGGAAAACTTCTCGAGCGACAAAAGAACCAAGATCTTCCACAAGTAAGTATGGCGTCACCCTTAAATTCTCGGGACATCCTCGTTTTACCCTACTACAGCTTAGATTTCCTGTCCAGGACAAATACGTCAAAGCCTGCAGGGATATCAGACACCCTGCAACTTCTTGTATGAAACTGTTGTGGTTGTTTTTCCTGTTCTGATCACAGCACATTGCTGCTGCAATGTCTATTATGAGTACGCTCTGTACCTAAATGTCTCTGATCAAGAAATGTTCTGTACCCATTCCCTGGAGAGAAGGTTCAAGATGTTAAAATATAATTTACTACTGTGAATATTTTTTTTTAATTTTTTTACAATAGTTCAAGTTTAAAGTTAGGACATTTCTCGTCTCTTCGAGCTTCTCCGTTCTGTGTTTCTGCAGCGGACACATTTATCTATATTAGTACTTTTCAGACAGTCTGATAAAGCATTCAGACGGACAAATGCTTTCTGGGAAGATGTTGAGCATATTGGCGCTTGTCTTCATTTGGAGGAGTTTTTGTCAGTGAATCACACATCACACTGGCTGGATGCCTGACAGTGATGCTGCTTGTTGGTCAGCATTTTATCACTTGCGCTAATAAACTTGCACCAGAAAATAGAAATTACCCCCCTCTGGCTAGATATTGATTGCAGAGCAAATGTATTCACCCACTTTGAACTGTTTCACATTTTATCACCTTACTCCCGCAAACATTCATGTGTTGTATTGAGGTTTTGTGTGATGGACCAACAAAAAAAGGAACAAATAAATGGAAAGTGGAAGGTAAATTTCCTCTTTCAGCTGTTTCAGCTGCTTCGTGTATTGGGTGACGAATGCAAAACACAAGAGTTTCAAAAAGTGATTTAAAGTGGATTTGCTTTAGTTGAATCTATTTAGTTCTGTCTTTGAAAACCATCATAGATTAGATTTTGCAGACCTGCAAAATCGTGATGTCATGACATGATATAATTTCAATATGATATATCATATGACTGGTTTCATTTTAAAATTTCTTGGTCGTTTTGTGCATCTTATTCAATTGGATTTGCCCCTAATTTCATCCATATTGACAAAAACTAACTTTCTATCTGTAGTAGATCCAGTTCAACCATTAAAATCATAATAATGATTTTTGTTTTTTCATTACCTGCAAGCTGCAGTCATCAAAATTATATATAAAAAAGCCGGACACACATAATACCATATGTAATGAATTCCATTTTATTTAGATCAATGTGGAAATGTTTCACTTAAAAGAAGATTAAAAGTTCATAAAAGCCTGACATTTTGACATGAAACTCGTGAACATTTGAGAGCCACTGTACATACAAGCGCCGATGTTTCTACTCAGATTGCTTTCGTGCACACGTGGGTACAGCTGAGCAAATGAGCATGCGGCCGTGTCATTGTTATGATTTGCTCGAATGAGTGATGAGGAGAGAGGGAGCCTCACATTGTCAGGTTTGGTGAACGTCTCACTCATCTTTGCTCGAGGCTTTGATCTCATCCGAGTTGTCTTTACCAGCTCCCGCTTGTCAGTCACACATGTTTTTTTTTTGCTTATTTCTCTTTCTGTGCCTGCCACTCTGTATTTTATTCTCCATCTCTTCTCTTTCCATCACCTCATACCTTCACATCCAATCTCCCTCCTTCCCTCTCAATCACGATCTTTACTTCGTGACCCAGTTGCATTACTCGGCTCAGCCTGCCGGGACCTGCTCTGCGTCGACCCCTCTGCGAGACGTGATATTGTTGTTTAACCTCAGCGGGAGATTTGCGCACGTCGCTGACAGACGCGCGTTGTAGGTCCTGACAGCCGACAGTCACAGCTGTCTCCGGGTCTGTGACGGAAAAGCGAGCTGCATCTGTCTCGGCGTAGATGAGAAAACTGTGCCTCGTGCACAGTCATCCCTGCGTCTTAATGTGGGAAACAAGCCTACTTCCTGCCAGTCACACACACACACACAAGCATGCTGTGAGATTTTTTTTTTTTTTCACACATACACAATGAGATGCGAAAAGACTGAAGGATGGTTTATATATAATGCATGCAGCCACAGAATCATTTAGAGGCCAGCATTCATTAATACTGTATTTTATAATTCTGCCAATACTCTCCCCACAATCAATCCCTGGGCTCTGCAACACTTCTCTCTCTCTTCGACTGCAGAATGCTGTGAACAGCTCTAACCCGATGAGGCTATAAAGAGGTGATGCAGCTTCTTCTTTAAGACATCTTTCAGTGCAGTGATCACTTACGTCAAAGTGCATTACTTTCTTATGGTATCGGCACACCAGTGATTTGGGTTTTAAAATGCCGCTACGTCCTCTGGATCCTCTGAAGTAGCACATTATGTGAGGGGGGGAGAGGGAAAGGCTTGGAATTGATATTTGTCGTGGGTCAGCAGACGCTGCACTTGTTCCTCTGTAGAATTGCAACAAGGTATCACAACATCAGTGTGCTTTGTGGAGGATGAGATAAAGAGGTCACCGTGTCCCAGAGTCAACCAGTGGGATTCAGTCGTCTTGGACAGGCTTTAATCTGAGCATAGGAGGACATCCCAGAGGGCACCTGGTGGAGAAGTACGGTCTAATTCAACTTCAGCCCGTATGTGTAATTATCTGGTTTAAACTAATTAATCTGACTTGAATAACAATAGAACATTTGAATGAATTTGATATATTTGTAGGTTTGGAATTTTGTTGGGAGGCAGTACAGAAGATAAGGCATTTCTTTCTTTCTTTTTTTTTCATTAGAAATGTTCCTGAGAAACTTAAAAATACGTAATAGACCTCAGCAAGCTAAAAAAAATGATTAAATATAAATAAGTTCTGCATCTTCCCTTGGTGATCTGTAATTTCAAGATGTTTTTTTTTGTTTTTTTTGTTTTTTTTGTATCTCAATCACTGAGCGAACATAAGCTGCAGACGCAGCACAGCTGTTCGGATAGATTTATGCAGCTTATTTCTTTTCTCTTGCACATCTCTATCAAACTGCTGAGCCACACAGCAGCGTTGGAAACAAATATTGAGTTCAGTGTAGTTATTCCCAGTGGTGAACCACCAATAAGAATACATCTAATTACTTTGTCAAGATGCTGTGGTACCTGGGTAAGTGTTCTTCAATAAGCTTAGTTAAACTAAAAGACATGATGCGAAAGCTCCACCTCGGGGCTGTTGCTTTTATTCTCCTTCTCATTTTTAAAGCTGTCAAGCTGGAGTTTAGCTCCTTAGAAAACTTACCAGCAAAACGGCTTGCTTCTTTCTTTCTTTCTTTCTTTCTTTCTTTCTTTCTTTCTTTCTTTCTTTCTTTCTTTCTTTCTTTGTTTTCTTTCTTTATTTTTCTTTCTTTCTTTGTTTTCCTTCCTTCCTTCCTTCCTTCCTTCCTTCCTTCCTTCCTTCCTTCCTTCCTTCCTTCCTTTCTTTCCTTGTTTCTTTCTTGGCACCGTATGTTTAGGGTTAGGGACTGGCATCACGCAACACAATCCGTTGTTTGAGGGACAGAGAAACATCACTGCTTGCAACAAACGTGAGACATACTAGTCAATTAGACGTTTGGGTCTAACCCAGCCTGCCCAACGAAGGGGGAGTGACCTTGTTCATAATTGAATGACACGTGTTTCTGTTAAAAATAAAAGTTTTCTGTCCTCTTTAGTACCAGGTACTACACTATCTGTGTAGTACCGGCTGCTTTTGGTTGTCCCCATAAGTAGGCTGAAAGTCAAAGAGAGTCTGTCCCCAGCCTTTAAAGACATTCGAAAGTTCAGTATGTTTTTGATTTTAGTGCTTTGCTTCTCTTTTTCTCATTTGCGTTGTTTCATTTAATGGGTTCTAGTGTCTCAGATGATGCTTACCTTTTTAAATTAGAGCAACATAAAAACAAAAGTACAAGTTTTATTTTGAGTCTCTAAAAACACATCTATTCCTCGTTGGCTTCGACACAGTGCGAGTTGTGTGTCTTATGTTATTTCTATTTTATTTTCAGTTTTACTTGCCTTCTTTTACCCATGTGGTATGTTTTATATCTATTTTTATTGTTTAGTAATTATAGATTTTTTTGTTCCATTCTTCAAAGTACACACCTTGGTTGAACTAGGGTTTTTTTGTGTGTGTGTTTTAGAAAACACTTGCACTTGAATCAATAATAAAATTTACTCTTTGATATATTAACTTTACTTTATAGTGCTCCCATTGCTACAAAACTTTAATAACATTCATAAGTGTCATGGATTTATTTGAAAAAAAAAAACAACATACAATATTTTTATATTGTTGCATCTTCATTTACTTTTTTAATGTTCCAATGCAAAAAGTTACTCAGTCTGGTGTTGTCCATTTTCACTGACCTGGCCTCACTTTACACCTATCCCTTCTCTCCCATCTTTCCAGTCTTGTTAGTCTCTCCTTTATTCATCATTTGTCCTCTCTGTGACCTGGGACAGTGTTCGAAGATGGGAGACGGGCACCAAGCTGTCCACGGAGATCGGTTCATGACCTAAGCATGACAGAGCTGATCAGCTTAAAAGGGCTCAATTTAATAAAGCCAGACAGAAAAGGCGGATGGGAGAGAACCTTCTGTATTTCTCTGGAAATCTTTTATATGAGACCTCCTGTCACAGACAAAAACCTGTTAAAGACTGCACAAACGAACCCTGCTCCTCGTCTAGCCGTTGTTTTTCTGGGTCCTTAATGACATAACCAGAGCAGAGGGGAGATTGTAACTGACAGCCAGTTGACGGAAAGCAAGCGTGTCTGTGTCATGAACTTGCTCAAGTAGAAATATCTCATCATTTTGTGTTTGTCTAGCGGATGAGATCTTGGAAAAACAAAAGGAGTTATCTCCATTGAATCCATTGCATTACTAATCTCATTCCATGAATCTCATTTGTTTTTTCCAATATTTGTTCAGTTGTCCAGAGGAAACCAAACAAAAACACTTTGATACATTAAATATCGCTGTGTAAATGTTGTATTTAGGTTCTGCGAGGCGGTAGAGATGCTATGAATGCTAGAAATCAGAGATTTTTTTTATTATTATTATTATTGTCCTGCAGTGACAGGTGAATAAAAACATGTAGATTCACATAAAGATAAAAAATGAATAAGAAAAGAATAAGAGACTTTACAGTAGTGACAAATGGGAAAAGTGTTACAGTTATTGAAAGTAGCATATTCAGATCCAAAGCAAATTTCTTTATTCGTTCCCCAACAACAACCACCTAGGGTGGTCCTAATATCAAAATATTGTTGGAAATGCACCTTTTTTCAGTTTACACACGTAGTGTAAGACTCTCATCAATCTCAAACTGTGTTTTAAAGGACCTCTGTATGATGTAAAATTCAGTTAATTTTGGATTGTGAACTTGAGATGATTAAAAGCAGTCACGATTACTTAAAAAAACACAAAAAAAACAATGTAATTGCCCTTTACTAAAGCACCAAGTCAGATGCAGCAAGTCGGATGGCAGCATAGCTACATCTTTATATTTGCATGTTTGGCTTTTTTTATGGTACTCACAACAAAGCAAAGTTTATGGTGGGCACAACTGCAATTTCGCAGAAAGTTATCAAGAATTCCTGAATCCAAAACTGCCTCTGATGATTTTGCTGAAGGAACTACTGAAGACTTTCATTTCACTTCATCAAAATGTTAATAAGATATTTTAAAATTTACTAAAATCTTTTTGGGAAAAGACAGTTTGATTCTAAATTCATGCACAGTAATCAGTCAGAAAATCATATTTTTAAATATACAGTTTTTTTATGGATGTTTCAAGAGTGGAAAAATAGTAAGCAGTTGTCCGTCCTCGGTCACCGGGGCCTTGGAAGAGAAACAGGCCCACAGCATCACAGATCCTCTACTGTACTTAACATTGCACCTTAGGTACTTCTCACATAATCACTCCGAGTATTTGTTGCCAAAAAGCTCAAACCTAGAGTCCTGGAAACTCTTATTTTCAAATATGTGTTCACTGCATTAACACATTGACATACAGTAATGAAATGTTAATTTTTAAAAATCAAGAAAAAAAAAAATTGGATGTTTTCTATAGGTCCCAATAGGTGTATCATTATTTGACAGTGTGGATCATTTTTTTTTTTTCTTTGTCATGTTTTTTGTTTCAGGTACCAAGACATGAGGCGACAGATCGGCTTTGAAATCAGGGACATGTGGTACAATTTAGGTAATTTTATTGCATTTACTTTGTTCCTGAGGTCACACCTCTGCTGTTTACAGCTGATATGATCACAATTAGCTCTTCCACAGTCCTCAGGCAGATAATATATATCCGGAAGGCAAAGATCTTTTGTGAAATGTATACAGTCCAAGTGTTAATTAGCGCTACAATGTGATGAAAGACTCACTGTTGATGTCGGGTCTAAATTTTCCTGTAGTAAAAGGAGGCGGTGTTGAATCCAGTTTATTGTGCCTAACACCATCTGATCCTTTAATTTGGAAAGATTAGACTGGATCATCCTCTTGAGGTATTTTGATGATTTTAAAGGTTATTTACGGCTTACGTTCTCCAAAAGGGGAGACAGTTTCATTCTTTGGAGCTAATCTGAGATGACACAGTACACATCAAAATGGGGGAATTCTACAAATTATATGTCACAGATTACTTTTTCTTCCACTTGTTTTGTCTTCAAGGCCCCCACAAGATAAAGTTCATCCCTGAGATGGTGGGTCCAGTTCTGGAGATGACCCTTGTTCCCGAGATCGAGCTGCGAAAGGCCACCATCCCCATCTTCTTTGACATGATGCAGTGCGAGTTTCACTTCACATGTGGCTTCCAACGGGTGCGTATTCTGGAATATTTAACAAATGCAGTAAACCAGATGAAACGGTGTTGTCTGGAATGAAAGATCAGATAGAAAAGCGGGGAGGCGGCACACAGCGGCCCATATGATGGCGACTTTCGTAGCCCACAGCCGATTTGTAATTCTGCAAATCTCATTTTGTTGTGTCACAATTATCAGCGGCCACGGTGAGTGGAACTTAATATTACGCCTTTCTGCAGTGGAAATTAAACCTTTCTGCGCGAGTAAATCCACTTGGTTCCAGTTGTTGTCATAAATATGTTTCAGCCCTCGGAGAGAGGCCGAACATGCGCAGCGTCAGTGAGTCCATAGGCACTCGTCTAGGGTGTGAACATCCAGTTAATTTATGGCTTTAAAAGGTGTTCTTTCTTCAGTGTGGAGTAAATATGCAACAAACAACTTCAATTAAAAAAAAAAACAACAATTGCATGCACAAGTTTAAGTTGCAGAAACTCAGTTATTCACTTAAATATATGCACACTCCATGAACTAATATTTTGATACATTTTCTTAAGTTAAAGGGAAAGCACACTTTTGGTATTGCCAGGAGGGAGGTTTTGACCTACTTCTGGCTCCGTGTTTAACAACTCTTAATTTAAATGATTTCTACTGAACGGCGCCCTAACATTCGGATTGCTTAATTGCACAAAAAGTTTAATTTCAGTGCCGCTTTTTTGGGGGGAACGTTTTCTAAATATTAATGTGATGTGTCTATATTTTTGAGCCTGCATTATCGTTAAGTCTTTGTGGAGGAGAGAAAAGTCACGAATCATTTTTAACTTCTGTTCCCAGATCTTGTTTTTAAAGAACATTGAAGCCGCATGCTGTGCAGCCAGTCCACCCTGAAAGACCTTAAAAGCGCAAACCTAAATATGTTGTTTCCCTTTAAACTGTGCACAAATTTGACCCTTGTGGTCTTTGTATTACTGTGAAGATGGCAAGAGTTTAACCAACGATCCTCTGAGATCCTTTTTTTCCATTTCTTTGTGTTGCTGAGATTGGACTAAAGTTTGCTGTTTTAGCTAATGTGCCACTCCGATTGGAGCTCATTGGAGTTCAACCCTAATCTCTCAGTCTTTCCTTCTTTGTCTCGGCCTCCTTTAGGCTCAGAGCCAGTATCATTTCCTCTTTACTGACTTTCTGTCTTTTTTTTTTTTTTTTTCCTCTGCTGTAAATCCTCCACTGAAACAGACACCGGAGTTTATGTCACGCCTTGCTCAGCTGTGTTCTCCTTCTCTGTTTTTGTACCTGGTCAAGTACATCAAGAAGTCAGTAAAAATGTTTTATTTTTAAGCAATAAAATCGAGTTTTGATACAAATGCTTGAGAAATGGAGTCAATGCGTCACTGTCAGCAGCTTCAGCAACAACGGAGCAGAAGGAAAAAAGCGATGCGTCTCACGATTCAGCCTCGTTCTGTCCTGTAATGAATTTTTAGCCGTTAATGATCAGATCACAGCCCGCTGCAGTGACGAGCGGGCCGGTGAAGAAAGAATCCGTAACCTTCCTCAGCTCAGACTTAAAGCAGTTGAGGATGTAGGGGGTTGTTAATGAATTGGGGAAAAAATTAACCACAGCGATTATTTGTGTCTGCTCTGTCTAATTGCAGTTTGAGAACGAGATCATCACCAAGCTGGATCACGAGGTGGAAGGGGGCCGAGGAGACGAGCAGTACAAAGTTCTCTTTCAGAAAATGTAAGTGCTGATTATTGGGCAGGATTATATGGCTGAGCCTCTCACAAGTTGGATCGCTCTAATTGCAACATCACACTCCTCAAAATAACCGCCGTTTGCTGATAATCACGCGACTTCTCGGCTCAGCTTTTCTCTTGCGACTCCTGATGAGCGGTACCCGTTCTGCCTTGTTGGGCAAAAAAAAAAAAATTCGGTTTCCGAGATAGTACGGGCTGAAATTATTTATAAATTTAACAATTCACTGTTAAAGAACTTTTTGTTCGTTTTTGTTTGTTTCTCTTTTCCTTCTTACTTGCCTGCCACCAGTTTGTTGGAGCACTGCAGGAAGCACAAATACCTGTCCAGGACGGGAGAAATCTTTGTCTCTCTGGTGGTGCGACTCCTGGAAAGGCTGCTGGACTACAGGACCATCATGCATGACGAGAACAAGGAAAACCGCATGAGCTGCACCGTCAATGTTCTAGTAAGATCCACAAAACACATGGATGGCAGTAAAGGATTGCTGAGACCTTTTATGACTTCATCATTAACACATTATGATGTACAGATTTTTAAACTCCTTTAGAACTTGATCTAATGTCTGCATCTGTTTTTTGTTTGTGCTTTTTTTTTGTAGAACTTTTATAAGGAGATAGACAGAGAGGAGATGTACATCAGGTAAGATCCAAACCTAGTGTTGTCTTTCACAGTCACTGTTTCAATTCGGCGTTACGACAATTTTTTTAATGTTTCTTCCTGCTGTATGATTTCATTTTGCTTGTTGAGTGTATTTTAGATAGGACAAGTTGTCAGATCTTATAAGTATTATGATTCAGTCTCCTGTCTTTGCCGATAAACAGCCACTAAGTCATTCCTGCATCTTGCCAGGTACCTGTATAAGCTGTGCGACCTCCACAGAGAGTGCGACAACTACACAGAAGCTGCCTACACCCTGCTGCTGCACGCAAAACTGCTCAAGGTACACAAACCGCACTAAAGACTGAACATGGAAGCGAAATATTTACACTGCTCAGCTGTCGCTGGGCGAGTCGCTTTTAACCTCAGGCAAGATACTAATATAATTCTCTGAATTAGATTATGCACAGATTTGAAACGGCTCAGATCGTTTTAATTGAACCACGGGATGAGATGGCTGCTGAGGAGGCAGAGGAGAGACTTTCTCACCGGGGTGAAATCTGGTCTTTCATCCCAGATAGAGTAGGAAGTAAAATAAACCGCTCTCCTGCTGAGCTTCAGTTGTGGATTATAATTACAGCTGCACCAGTTAATCTAGATGATTGAAATCAGCAGGTTTTTTTCCTTGATGAGTAGGTGGAAAAAAAAATGAAACATGAGATAATATTTCTCTGCTTCCCGAATTCATCGTTGCCTTTCTTTTTTTTTGGCCCTGTAAACACATCATGGCATAATATTCTTTCAGGCACTTTTCATTTAGATCCATCCATGGATTATTGTCTTCTTAATCCGGGATTGGGCCGCGGCCCTGTCTTCCGTCTGCCCAGTCACTTGAGCCAGCTCTTCCCAGGGATTCCCAAGGCGTTCCCAAACCTGCCAAGAAGCACATTCCCTCCAGCATGACCTGAGTTTCCTCCCGGTTGGACATTGCCCAGAATACCTCACCAGGAGGTTGTCTAACCAGATGGCCGAGCCACCTTAACCGGCTCCTCTCGATGTAGAGAAGCAGTGGCTCTACTCTGAGTCCCTTTTGTTTGACCGAGCTTCTCACCCTGTCGCTAAAGAAGAACTCTTTTCAGCCGTATTTGTTCGCAATTTCTTTCTTTTGGTCACTACCCAATGCTCATAACCCTAGATGATGGTGGGAACTTAGATTGACTGGTAAATCAAGATCTTTGCTTTTCGTCTAATATTTCTTTTCACCATAAAAAAAAAAAAAACTGGTGCAGCTTCTTCATCGGTTAAGATACTGCACTATCAACCTTCTGCTCGTTTTTTTTTTTTTTCTTCATTTATGGACAAGTCCTCAAGATAGTTGAACTCATCCACTTAGAACAGCACCTCATCTCCAACCTGGAGAAAGCAGTCTAACCCTTAACCAATTCAAGACCATAGTCTCGGATTTATAGACGCTTATTTTCACCTCAGGTGCTACACATTTGGCTTTGAAACTCTCCAGTAAAAAGCTGGAGATTGCTTTCTGTCGGGATCACATCATCTGCAAAGAGTACAGACATGATCCCGAGGTCATCAAAAAGGATCGCCTCAACATCTTGACTGCAGCTAGAAGTTATATCCATAAAGGTTATGAACAGAATGGGTGGCATGGAGCAACCTTGGCGGAGTCCAACTCTTACCGGACAGAATCTGAGGCTCGACTATCTGAGAGTTTATTAACAATCAGATAAAGTTTAGGGAACCTCTGCATATATGGGTAAATTAATAATCTAATGTTTCTGAGTAACCGACATAATATTCTTGTCTTTTGTCTAAATTTGCCTTGTTTAATTGTGGATTTAAAGCTGTAATTTCCAACAGCTGAATACTTGCGTGTTGCAGTTGAGAATTTATAGGTCAACACTCTAATCAGTATCGGTGAGTAAAAGCCAGATTCGTTCAACTCTTCCAAGTTATGATGGTGCATATTTGTTACAAGTTTGACTTTTTTGTTAATCTCTCTGTGCCCCAAAAAAAACCCCACCACGTCACCAAACCAAACATACTTTTTTTTTTTTTTTTCGGTCTGCAGAGTCTATTCCCAGCTGTGGGGTTAGTATGGAGTAAGTTAAGAAGGGACTCCTTTTATCCAAAATTGTATCATCTTACTTCTCAACTGAATTTGCATAACTATCCTGCTGTTTGGGCCTTTGTAGTGGTTCTGTCAGGCAGAAGCAGGTTGTCACTGAATCCCATTTTCATCACTGTCGCGCTCGCGGGAGTTGATTTTATTACTTTAAATCTGTAGATCTTTTAGCACCTGAGTCTTCTTGATTGTGGCAGGAAGACTTTTCTACTGCTGTGCTTCGGAGGCTGAACATGTGTCTGGATTTTATTTTGTGGCTTAATATTTCTTGAAATGCCACCCAGACACGTGGTGGGCCTTGCAAAAAGTAAACGTTGGTGTATTTTATGATATACCAACAAAAGGCAGCTGTCAAGTGAAAGAAAAAGAATACAGATTTTTTTTTTCTTTTTTTTTTCAGTAAATAACACTTAAAATGCGGCAAAATGTCAGCTTACATTTGAATTTATTTACAAATGATATAAATTTGAATATACTGAGGAAGTCAAAACACAGCACCTCCCCATTCCTGGAGAATAAATTGAATCCTTCAGCCGCCTCATGACTGCTCCACTAAATTATCAGCGCTTTTTTCTCTGCCTTTTTAGCTGCGTGCGGGGTCAGTTGCCATTAATGCATAAATGTGAAGGTCCTCTTTACAATGTGAATGCTGCAGTCAAGCTGTGAAGAAATCAATAGGCTGAGCCCAAGCGTCCCTCTTTCTATACCACAGCAACAGCGTGCAGAGGCACTTTTTTTTTTTTTTCCACCAATGTGGTCATCACACCCTTCATGTTCATCTCAGGATAAAATCCTGCTGGTTGGTGGTAAACACGTCCTGACAAATATATAGGGTTGTAGATGTTCTTATAGTGCTAAGCAGCTTCCATCTGTCAGAAATCACATTCTTCTTTATGCTGCTTTAAAAATAAATAAGCACATTATCATGCTTATCCTGGTGTTGTTTTATCTCTGCCTACGACATCAAACCCGGCTCTGTTGTATAATCAATTGCTCCCCCACTCTATTGCATACGGAGTTTATATGCAAACAGGTCGAAGGGATGCTTCTTTGCTTACTTAGCACATTTTCCTCCAGCAGGCCAGTCCGCTGGAGCTCAATGTCTGCCAAATTTAAATATTAAAACTGTGTGTCAAACACATATGCAACAACAAATGACATTTGTCTACTGGGCTTCCTTTAAATTCACTACCCGACTAAAGAGAAGTAGAACATGTATTGTGCCCTAATAAAACAAACCGACATCCGTCAAAACTTGTGTAACTGCAAATTAAACTTTCACAATGGCTGCAGGACCGTTTTGGACCGATTCTCCTTCTGAACTGTTCAATGGATATCCATGCATGCATCACTGCCCGCATCTTAACTCTTCATTTTGCTCTGTGCAGGACTGTGTTCAAGGGAGTTACACATCAATATCCCTCATTTGCATTGGCTATAAGTCATTGATTGATTTCTTGTCACCTGTTTGACTTTTACCCCGCATTGTTTTGCACAGCATTGACCCCCGGTGCTCATTTGTTCCCTGTAGTGGTCGGACGAGCAATGCGCGGCCCACCTGACCCAGAGGGAAGGTTACCAGGCCACAACTCAAGGACAGCTTAAGGACCAGCTCTATCAGGAGATTATTAATTACTTCGATAAGGGCAAGGTAAGAGGCGCTCTAGAAACCCTGACGCTGTTTCCGTGGCGCGTGGATTGAGAATAATCCATTTCTTGTGGATGGATGAAGAGGCGTATTAGACTACACGACTATTACTTTTTTTGTCATCCCTTTTATAGCATAACCTTTTCTAAAAGCCCTTCCCTCACTTTGTGTCCTTTTTCTCTTTTACCTTAATATCACATCAGCGCTGCGCTTTAATGCCATCGGAGTCACTTGAGAGTTGGAAAATGTCCCGTTTTGTAGGAACTTTTGTTTTCTACAAGACGAATCGGAGGAGAAATGCACGGATCTCCTTGGAAATGAGGTTCTAAGGCTTTGGATGTTACGTCAGGATTGGGATTCTTCTCAGTAACTCGTCAAACTTTGGCTAGGAAGCAGCTACTTCGATGAAATTTGGAAACAAACCAATTAAATAACGGTTGATGTTATGAGGCGTTAAATTGGCACTCTAGGAATTCTCAGCAGCTTGACAGGATCTTCAGTCTTTAAAGAATACATTCAGATGCAACTATTTTATTAATATAAACTACATTAACCGTAATAATCGCTTATATAATGTAATGTAAAATATCAACTTGTCGTGTTGAATAGAAGATGGCATCGAGGTTTTTCTGTCTACCAAAAGGATGAAATAATCTTATTCTGATAAGCTTGTGTTATACAGTGTGACCTGCGTGAGACTAGCAGTGAATTCAAGGTACTCTGCTACCAGGAAGTTAGCTCTCTATCATTGCTTTAATCTTTGAAATTAATTTTTTTTTTTTTTTTTGACTGTCTGTGTCCTTTCTAGATGTGGGAAGAGGCGATTGTGTTGAGCAAAGAACTGGCTGAACAGTATGAGAATGAAATGTTTGACTTTGAGCAGCTTAGTGCATCCTTGGTAAGTAGGATTAATGTGTCGCTTAACTGCATTTCCGCTTTGTACACTGTCACTCCTCTGCTGCACTTATAGATGGGGGG